AGAGTCGAGACGACCCGAGGAGGCTGAAAATAGGGGCAAAACGACACATGCATGGCCTAAAAGACGGGTACGAGCGCGTATGCGGGGCACTCGAGCACATGAGAAGCGGCATGTACAAGGCAATAGACAGAGGCGGGCACACGCGCATTGGCGTAGACGCGCATGGCGCAACGGGGCTACAAGCGATGGCGCGCCTTGGGCGTGGGATGAACGAGGGGCAGCGCTGGGTGCACGGGGGTGCGCGGTAGGCGAGCAGGCCGCTGGCGTTGGTGGTACGCGCGGAGCAGTAGGCGATGGAAGTGCGGATTGCGCTGGGCGTACGGGTAGCGTGTACGCAGGTGAAGGCCTAGGCCCAGTAGGCCTAGGATTGGAGCGGCAACACACGCGCAAAGAAGCCAGCTGGGACGGGGCGTGCGCACAGGCGCACGAGTGCGACGCGGGTGATGGCCTATACCGCGTAGGCATAGGAGTGCTGGACGACGAGTACGGGGCGCACGGCGACACGCGCGTGGCACAATACAAGACCGGGGTGGCAAGCCTAATCCTCGTAGGAATAGGCAAGGCGCGAATACTACTCCTCGCAGGAATAGGAAAAGCAGTTGAGTGCCGGAACGCGCGTGGGAGATCGGTGACGGGAGTAATCCTCGGAAGATCCGGAAACGTAACCGAGAGTCTATTCCTAGTAGGAATAGGAATAGTGGATATGGGCTCGAAGCATGGTCCTACAAGGAATAGGAATGGCGCATGTGGGGCGCGAGACCATAAGCCTCGAGGCGAGAGGACATGCTCGCATGGGCGGACGAGACGCGTGGACGAGGCGCGCGTTACCGCGCGCGACTAGGAGTAGGCGTCCAAGGCGGCGCGCGATATGGCGGTTAGGGTTGAGAGGCGGCCGAATGGTGTGGAGTGCAAGGCAAGGAATTGGATAGCAAGTCAAGATATTAGGAGATCTAGTAGATTTAGGAATTTATGGTAGTAGGATATTTACTTGCCTTAGGATTTAATATTTAATTGTTTTATTAGTTTTCTAGTAAGATTAGCATTAGAGATAGTTGATACCTATAAATACCCATGTACCTCATCATATTTTACAAGTTGAATGAAGTATTGAATTGGTGAGCCAATTGAGGGGAACTTTATGTTCTAACGTGTGATAAACAAGGCCGTCAGTGCGTGTTTACATACAGTGTCGGAGAGAAGGCCCTGAGAGCGTCTCAAAGTCACAGTGTCTAGGAGAAGGCCGATAGTGCGTCTGCTAGATACACCTATCGTGGATAAACGAAGGCCCTGAGTGCGCCGTTTGTTACAACCAACGTATAAATAACAACACCGATCAGCGATCCTTCATCACGCTGTGCGTGCGCGCTGGCGTGCGCTGGGGCGCTGTGATGCGGACACAGCGAGAAGACTTAAGAACGCGGCGAGTCGCGCGTGGCATGCGCGAAGGAGGCTAAGTCGTCGTGCCGGAGAGGCACAATACGTGGACGGACACGCGCGCAATACTATCGGGGACGAGCGCGGGGTTGAATGCGCAGGCGACGGGGTACACGCGCGAACTTGCCTAGGCGCGCGAGGATTAGGCGAGCTGCTGGACGCGTGCGCGGGAATGGAACATGAAGTCATAGTCCTTGGGCGATTAGGCAACGCGGACGCGGGCAAGGCGGTTTGGGGCGCAAGCAAGAAATAAATTAAATAGCTTGATTAATATTTTATTTCCTTGTTTTCTAGTTTGTTTAGGATACTTAATATTTTATTGCTTTATTAGAGTTATAGTTATATTAGGACTAGATCTAGTTGATGCCTATATAAAGGCCATTCCTCTTGTTAATTTAATCATTCAGAAATCAATAATTTTTGTTCAAACTCTTTGCTCTAGTTTTCTTCTTGAATTCTTTTGCAACTTTATTCGTTAGAAAGGCTGCGAGTGTGCGACTTCCTAACACCTATCGAATGATTTAAGGCGCGGGATCTGCTTGTCGGCAATTGAGACACACGATCTTCATCATTGGTGCTTTCATTGAGAGGGTCGATCGTGTGTCTTTCCTTTCCCTATTCTCTTTTGATCTTTCTTTCTTAATTTTCGTTCGTTTAAAAAAAAAAATCGTCAAAAGCCAAAAAAAAAAAAAAATTCAAAATTAGTCCGGGAAGTCGAGAACGTAGGCAAGCCAGAAAAGATATGGCCAATCGTGAGTTGAAAGAAAAGGTTGAAGGATAGGAAGGCCAATTCAAGGCCATGAGCGAGAGCATGGAGGATCGGTTTCGATCACACGACGAAGGTCAGGTCAGCACCAACGCTGTCATGGCTCGCCTCAAGCAGCGCCTGGAGGAGGTGTTGCGCGGGTTCCAACCACTAAGGCAACAGGAGCAGCAGCGGGCTGAGCACAACCTCGAGGAGGAGGAAGAATACGAACAGCGGTCGCAGGCATCGAATGTACATGAGCGAGCTCGCGTCGAGAAGCCAAGGATCGCGCTCTCGACGTTCACGGGAACCAACCCCGACGCTTGGCTGAACAGGGCGGAACAATTCTTCGATTTAAATGAGATGCCGCAACGTGACTGGGTTCGTTATGCCGCATACTATTTAGATGGTGAGGCCAACGTGTGGTGGTAGTGGGTCACGCGCGTGTATCGCGGGCGGCAAAAACCAATCCGTTGGGAAGATTTTGAACGCGAGCTCCTTACGCGTTTCGGGAACTCAGACTATCATAACCACGACGAGGTGTTTAGTATAGAAATGATGGGCAAGGGGTAACCGAGCTACCCGACTCGGGTCGATCTCGAA